ATAGGAGATGGAGAGCAAGCAAAGTTAAGTAAGTTAGCACTAAATTAACAAGCTAACTCATGCTAACTAACTGGACTTGAACAAAGCACCATGAGGGCCTTCAAAATCTTTGGTCACCCGTGCTTTTTACCGAGTTGTGTTTTTGTTGCCAAATACAAAAATTGACATTTTTAGCATTTTCCCTCTGAGATAACATAAATGCAATGTTGTATGACATCTTACATACAAAACTTCGCTGTCAGCTTCAGACTAAGAAGTTTTAAAAAATGTTCTCTGCTTGCAACTGTCAATATGCAATAACAATATAATATATCTGTTAACAAAATACATTTTCACCTAATACCTTACTTACAGCTACTAACTTTAAAAGCTCTGTGAGATGTTTCCAGTTCAATAGAAAAATAACTGAAAAGTAATGGCCGCCTTGAAAGTAGCAAATCCTTCAAAAATCTAATTGTGCTTTGCAAAATGGTCAGGACTAGTGTGAATTACACTCAGTTTACTAAACTACTAAATGGGTTAAAACCACCACAATGGGCTTTTAAAAGAAGTCTGAGCAGCTTGATAGTGGGACAAGTGCTAAATCTGAGATTCCAAACAAGTGCTTGGATGAAGCAATGAGTGATGTTAATTAGTGTGCTCATGCATTTGATATTGCCAATCTCTCATATATCGGTAACAGCGTGCACAAAACACAGGAACAAACATTTTATCCTTGTGTTGGTGTGTGTTTGCTGGGTGGCTGTTCAGAGCCCCTGCAGACCCCACAGCAAGCTCTAAGTAGCTCTGATTAAATCTGGCCTCCCTCTGCTCCTCTCCATTGCTTTTAGGATGCAGCGATAATGCTCATTAGGGGAGGCGGGTGGGGACTCTGGGAGGCGGATGTTCGCATGTTGCTCAAGTGTGGCTGTAATGGGGTGTGATGGGACGGTAATACAATTAGGTTGACTTTGGAGCTGTGATGAGAGGTTTGTTTTATGGAGAGAGTGTTCATAAAAATATGAGCCATAAAATGCAGCTATTGTAAGAGGGAAGGAGTGAAGCTGAAGTTGATGTTAAAGTAAAACCCTGCGTTTCTGCATCCTCACTTGACTGCACATGCTTGAAGAGTCACATATTACACAACACTTGGTCGAAAAATGAGGTTCTTTGCTCTCAGGAACACTGCCTTTGTCTTTATGAAGCTTAGGGAACACTGTGACATTTTGGGAAAGACTACATGCTTATTCACTTTCTTGCCGACAGTTAGATGAGACATGGATGCCACGCTGTAAAAAAAAAAACATTCTGCAAAGAAACAGGCATCAAGGGTGCCAGAAAAAAACACACTCGAAACAGTGGAACGCCATAATGTTCAAAACACTGTGACAATAACAGAAAATATCAGAAAAATAATGATATTTTTAGCTGATTTAAATACAGTAAAACCGTGTGATTTTACAGTCACAAGTTAGGAAAAAAAATTACTATTTGTGAAAATACATCCATTCATTATCTATACACCACTTAATCCTCACTAGGATCGCTGGGAGCTGGAGTCTATCCAAGCTGTGTAAGGTCGAAGGGGACACCCTGGACAGGTCACCAGTCTATCACAGGGCTACACCTAGAGACAGACAACCAAGCACAAGAATCACTAAATAACCGCATGTTCAGCATGTTTTTGGACCTTGTGGAAGGAAGTCAGAGAAGAACCCAGAGATAGAACCCACGCTGCACTGGGAGAACATGCAAACTCCACGCAGAAAGATCCCGGGTGTCCTCACCGGGACACGAACCGGGGATCTTCTAGCTGCGAGGCAACAGTGCTAACCACTGAGCCACCTTGCATGAGCCACCTACAGCTACTTCTGTAAGTGTACATTTTCAAATCAATGACAAGATAATTAACTTTGATTCATTTAGAAATCCCTGGACTTTAATACCTTAAATGTTTAAGTGCTTCAAGTATTCAAAATTGTTTCAACCTCATCATGTAAGCTGATGGAAAACAAGAACCCAACACATTTTGGCCCTAAAACCTACATCTATGGGCTGCTGACTCTTGCTTTACTCATGAGACTGTTACTGATTCCCCTATCTAACTCCTGATAAGAAAATGCACCTTTTTCTTCACACTGAACGTGTTATCTCAGCTCACTCTTTCTTCTTTGCACTTTCTTCTTCTTTCTGTCTTTCTAAGGAGTGAAACAATTAGCCGAAGTCATTTTGTGAGGCAGATTTAAAGCCCTGCCCTCCTGCTGCCCTCTCCTCTCCTCACACCACCACAGGGAGCTCAGGGGTGGTTATACTGCATCGATGTGTCAGGGAATCTGCAGCTCTCCAACACTCTAACTCTTATTTTGACACTCACACACACCAGAGCCGTGACCAACCAGCTCAGGCTGCCTCAACACATCATGAATGGGCAGTAAAAAGTGTTGCCTGTCATGTTTTTTTCCCCTTTGTCGATCAGCCACAGATTACAGGTGAAATGCGTTGGCTGCTTGCAGGCTTTTGCTGATTGGCAGAGACAGATTTAATAAGCAGTTATTGGGGTTTTGTTGTTACCGTTTTTGTGTTTTGATGAATGCTGATGGGTGATTTTATGAGCCGACCGTGATGAATGATTTAGGTGATCAATTTTCCTGCTGTGTTGGGTGTCACTGCTACTCAGCTCAGATGCTTTTGTTTGAAACAGGTGGCAGCCTCTTGATTACAGGCCCGTCCTTCTATGACATGACACATTTTCCCGAGTTTCATTGTGTCATCCTGCAGCTCACTGTGACCTTTGACCTCCCAGTGGCAATGAGTGGACAACAACCCCAAAGGGACCGACTAAATATCACATACATTGAAATGTTATTATTTCAAATGGCAGCCTGTCAGGATCCAAAGGTTTTCTTTCTCCTTTTTCAAAATGTCATGACCTCATCATGTCCAATCTGCACACCCCAACCCTCAGTGATGCAGCAAACAGCCGGACTACAATGTGCTCATTGCAGATAACAAGGCTTTTATTTTTGCTTCCAAGAACCTGCTTCACTCTCTGAATTATAGACTTTAATTTCTCGATTATAAAATTCCGTCAGATAACATTTTTCTTTTTTGATGTTTTAGCAGCAGCTCAAGCAAAACACTTGAAGTTGAGCTTCATCAATGTGCGCTTTGATCAACTTGAAGCCAGATTTCACTGAACAGATTCTTCTCTAATTGGAGGAGATAAGGGTTGGTTTCAGTGGCTTCAGGGTATTAGATGTCGTCCCAGGGGGTTTTCTAACTGTTATCGCTTCCTGTTTGTTGTCACACATGTCAAAGTGTATCGATCAAGACGGCAGAGAGTGAAACTGATGCCCGGCGGGGGAGCGCACTGGGCGGGCAGGGCGACGCGAGGACCGGGGCGCTTAAATCTTTTATCTTAAGAATGGCCGCTTTGGTGATAACAGGATTGGCGTGTCCCCACTAGCTCCTGACCCATATTCCCCAGGAAAACCTCGTTTGCATCGCTAAAGAAGAAATAAGGGGGGACTCTGTTCTCTGCAGCCGGTTTCCGCTGCGCGCAATCACAGCTCCAGGAGCAGCGCTGGAGTCGGTGCGCTCTGGCAGAAAGCATCCAGCCTCCTCATCTCACGGCTCAGTCGGTGCTCCTCTCCATCTCCATGCCTCCAAGCTTCAGCTACCGGCTCTCATCGGCGGAAACCCTCGCAATGAAACCGCTATAATCCATCCTGTTTTCATCTTTTTTTCTTTTCTTTTTTGTTTCACACTTTACTTACTACAAACAAGAAGAAAAGGCGACAAACACTCTTCATCTGCAAGTTTCAGCGTGTTTGTGTCGCACTGGAGGGGAGGAAGCGATGGCAGCCCCGGTGAAAGCAGCTCTGGCTCTCCTGGTTCTCACCGTGGCAAGTGAGTAATCTTTTTTAAATCCTCCTGGAACGGGACGGGGGGTTTCTACTTTGGGGCGTTAATCACCACAGTTTTTGGCAGCTCATGGCAAAATGGCACATCCATATGCATGTTAATAGTCTAACAATACTGGAAAGTAACGTGTTTTGCTGTTTAAACACAAAGGTGCCACTGTTATGGTGCAATTCTCTGTGTTGTTGTTATTTAGGAAATGTTTAAGCCACGCTTTTCGCTCACAGTGTTACCGGAAAGCAGGCCGGTGGGGATCAGTAGTGGCGTTTCCGTGCGTCAGACACTTCAGCACGTGATTTTTCCTGCACGCCTCAATTAACTAACTTGCTTCTCTTTACACCTCAAACCAACGGAACCATCTTAAAAATGTGCTTTATACGGACATGAGGTGTGAAATTTGAGAAAGGTGCGCTACTTTTACGCACTTTCTCCCTTCTGTCCTGGCTTGTAATTTACACAACAAACGCTTTTCTCATGGCTCATTAAACTGTGGCACAGCGTGGCTCTAACTGCAGACACAATTAAGGCTTTTAATCTACAGGATGGGCATTCTGTGGGACCTCGCTGCGTCTTATTGCCTGCAGTGTGCACCAGGACCATTTGATATTCATAGCAGCGATCTAAATGGTCTCTTTGCTCACAGAGAAACCTTTAACTCCCTGCACTTCTTTTACACCATGTTCAGTACAAGTCATGTCTCTTGTTTTTTCTATCAAATTAAGCAACTTATGAGCAGCTGCCTGTGGTTGTGATTGAGGCGGGAGCTGTCCAAGGTGCTGAAATGGGATCTCACTGCTCAGCACTAAACGAGGCAAAGCCCAGGTGTTTGGCTCTCAATGAGTGTGTTTAGATGGGTACGTGGGTTTTTCTTTGCAGAAAACTGAGCATTAGATTGATCAAGATTTACAATGGTGAAGGAGAGCAACTTCGCAGTGGCACTAAACAGCCCATTAGTTTAAGCTGAATTCTATTTAACTGCACAAATGAATGTTTCAAGGTGCTACAACTAAATCAATGGACTTAATTTCACTGATTGGTTCTTTAATTCCATTGTCACTGCCATTAGGTGGGCAGGTGTTCACTGGAATAAAGGCATCCTGTGTGCAGATAGATTCTGAACAGATATGGCTAAACAGCTGAAGTTAGCTACACTTGTAAGAAACTTTAAGCTTGAAATGAGCTTAAATGGATGATAATGTTCATTTAACCACATCTGAAAACAAAGTGGATGATAATTGGAGAGCAGCATCAGCTCGTTGTGCAAACACAAAGTTCATTAGCCAACTTTGTCTCTTTTCTGTGACTCGCCATTGTTTGACTGTGGCTTCGTCCCTCCTATCAAAGCTTGACTGTGACTGTAAAAGCACTAAACTCAGCCCACTCTGTTGGGATATATTTGTACCTCGTGTCATCCTGTCTACTGTTGGCTTCACTACCCTTTTCACTCTCTGTGCCGTCCACTGTCTGTTCCTGCATGCCACTTTTTTTTTTTTTCTGCCTCACTCCATATTTTCAGCCTTTATCTTTTTCCAGACTCCTACTCCGATGCCCATCTGACATATTGGGTTCTACATCTGTCTCCTGTGCTCTGCCTCTCTCTCAGTGTCAGCTGCGTATTGTGGTAAACGTGCTACTGTGTGCTCTGGCTACCCGCTGAGATGTTTTGCTCATTAACTTGTAAAATGCCTCCGAGTGCAAGACAGGGCCACACACTATCTGCATTTAGTATGTTGCACGAAACCCCCAGTCAACTCCCCCCCTCCCGACTGCTTCTCTGTAGCCCCTGGGTGAAACTTTACATGTGGGTGGGCAGAAATATGCAACTCAAAGTTTTGTCCTGGGGTTATTGTAAAGTTGTTGTTTCTCGTGATTCTATAAACTGCTTTTTTTTTTTTTTTGTACTGCAGATGTGCGCCCGGTCAGCAGGGCCCTGTGAGTCACTGCTTCATAGTAAACTGTTAGTCATTGTGTTGACACACTTGTTTGGATGCTGCACTTTGAAGGAGAGATGCAGTCAGACGAACGCAGAGATCAATGAGCTTTACAAGGACGAGAGGCCGCAAACCTAAACAGTGGTTACATGTAAAAGCGTCACTGAGGGAGCCGAGAATCTTTTCCGGCATCCGTTGTCTGTGTTCTTTCCTATATCAGCACATGTTCCTGCTCGGAAGAAAAAGAGCAAAGCGGGACAGAAAGACACGGGGGAGAGGTTGTGACAGATAAAATGAAATCATACTAGGAGAATAGTTGTTTTTATCCTTGCAGACAGAAGGAGCGTCTGTGTAGAGGAAAAGTTTGGGGCAAAACAACTAACATAAATCCCACGAGATACTGAAAAGCTATAAATCTCTCAGGCAGCTGATTCACAATGAGAAATTTTCTCTGAACCACGTGGCGGTGGATGCATATGAATGGCACATGGCTTGTCTTTTATAGCATGACTGATTTTGGGCAGTGCACTGAGCAAAGCCAAAGACAGCTGAAGCCCAAATTGTTTTGGCCTCAGAAAGGCCACCCCAGATGGTAACGCACTGAATAATTCACTACCCTGAAAAGAAAGTTACAGGATGCAGAATTGTTGTATTTTTTTTTCTATCTCTCTCCGTGCTCTTGAGTGATGACACAGTCTATCCATCCATCTGCATCACTCAAAACACAGCAGCACGTCTGAAAGGTTTTTTTTTGTTTTTTGTTTGATTTTGCACCATCTTTACGTCGTGATGGACGCTGTGTTGACTCTATGTGGGTGAGAAAGACTCGGAGAATAATCTCTGATTGTGTTTGAGTCTCTGCGCAAGTAAGATGATGGCATTTTTATTTTAGCGGCGATGAATTATTGAGGTGTGGAGAGTGCAGTGAGGCAGACAGGAGTGTGTGTGTGTGTGTGTGTGTGTGTGCATACATGTGTGATGAGACCTGCTGGTAGACTCCCCTAATGCTCCATCTCTACTTACATCAACCTCATACACATCTCATTTTAGCCTCAGCTACCGTTTTAGCATTTTACTGTCAAACCTCGGCACCTTACATCCCTCTATACAATCCATACTGTGCTCCTCCGCCGGCTTTAGTGCTCCTCTCAGGTCACACGGAGTAAATTGTCTTTCCCAGTTTATTAATTTTTTGTGCTGGGTTTATTTTTACACTGTCCCCTTTACATTTTTAAGGCAATATGACATCTCTTATATCTGTCAGAGAGCAGTTGGGGAAGAGCAGCTACATAAGGAACCACAACACTATAGAAACATGTTTGTAAAATGTAAATCATATCTGCTTAGTCACTACACAACTATCTTTCAATTCAAATTTTGCACGAAACTCATCTTCTGTGCACGTGTACGACATATATAGTATGTGTAAGAGTGTAGATGTGTTTGAAATTTGTTTCCAGCCTCTTGTATCCTAATTTTACTGTTTGAAAAGCTTTTTAGATATTATTGGCTGTTCTCTTCTACAAACCTCCTGAAAAGTTCACAGAGAATAAAGAAATGATTTAGTATTACTCTTCTGTACAGTAACAGATGCAGCAGAGGCAGAGCTTGGGTCAACCTCCAAACACACAGGATCCTACTCCCCCTTAATTCAACCTTGTTTGACTCTCCCTGTCTGCTAAAAAGCCACGTTTTGAGATCACGCAGGGTCACGATCTAAGACCTGAGCCACAAAAGACTTTATGCAGCTGACGACAAGCCCTCATGATGAGCAACCTTAACCTGATGTGTAAAATTGGAAGAGTGGCCCTCTAGTCAAAGCCTAATTGGAGTATATTTTCTTTCTTTGATCCTCTTTTGCGTCATTTTAGCTCCATAAGTATCAATTATAGCTCGCTAACCTGCTAATCAGGCTCCTTAAAGTCAATTTTGTGTGCATTCGCCTGCTTGTCAGTGTTCTGGGGGTTTTATTTAGAGGGTTTTAATCCAATTAACCAAAGCAGACGGACAAACAAAGCCGAAAAAAACAACAATCAGTTGCTTTTAATTAGAAAAAGATATCGGCATACCGTTTCGTAGCAGTTTGCACTCTTATCGCGTATAAACAATAAATTGCTGCCACAATGTAATCCCATTAAGCAAATGTATTAATCACTGTCTGTCATTCCCCTTGAATCATCACCATAATATGACATGATCCTATTTCATTTCATCAGATAATTATACTAATCTGGGAATTGTTTTGTCTCGCTCGGATGAAGCTTTTGTTTATTGTGGTGGATTTGTGTGTGTGTGTCTCTGCCTCCTCTCTCTCTCCTATTTTGGCAGACGGAGCTTTGTATCTCTCAGGACGTTTACCCTTTGGGTTTAGTGTCATGTCATAGCTGCTCAGACACTGAACACTTCTCCTGTCGTGTCCTCACATCAGAGCCTGCTGGAGGTTAATGTGGAGTGACCAAGTGCGGACTCTGCCTCTCCTTCCTGCACCCGTCTTTAAAGCTCAGAGCCTCTTACTTTCAGTTTGATCCTGACATGTCTCAGAACGTGTTCTCATGAATGGATATTGATAAGACAGCTCGGTGCATGTCCAAGTGCCAAAACAAACAATATATAGATGTCCAAAGCTGCTAACTGCACAGCTTTGAGATGTTTGGACTCTACTATAGTGCTGATGTCTGTGCAGGAGAGTTTGCACAGCTGTTTCATTGTGAATGCTTCGACTAGATCAGATACTGTGCACCATATATAGTATCTTCTACTGGAAAATGATGTTAAACAAGGACACAGATGGTGTATAGTAGGTGTATACTGGGTCAGGATGAGTTCAAACTTTACAAATCAGCCTATTTATGGCATTTAGAGAATGGAGAGAACTGGCCAAGCTGCATACATACCCAATGTGCTGCTCCCCAATGTATTTCAGTCAGCAAGCGTTCTTTTTTTTTTTTTACTAACATCTTCAGATCAAATCACCTCCTGTTGGTTCAAGGTAAACATACCGCAACCTGGCAAAAGCAGACCCCAATTATCTTTCCACCCAGCACGGTCTGGCAGAGCCACGGATGACCGACTATAAACGTACTGCGTAACAGACGACCAACAGCAGCATCCTTCACTTAGGAAGTCAACACAAACTACATTATGCATGACAAAGCAGGAAAATTAAGCTGGGTCCTAATCTCTTGATTATCTTAACATGAACAAAACACCAGAGAGGCAGAAAACAACCCTTTTTCACAAGAATTACATGCAACTAAACTGCATTCTCATTTACATTTTGAGTAAAAAAAAAAACACAACTATTTTTCTCAGACTGCATTTGTATGTTATAAATGCATTTATAATCAACATGTCTTTGGCATTTTATTGCTTTTCTACTTGGACTGGTCACCCTGGTAACCCAGTACATGGAGGAGAAGCTTCAAACTAGTGATGCACGATATTAAAATTTCTGGCCAATACCAATATTAAGATTTCTGATATCGCTGATAACCGATATTACCGATGTCGATAACCAAAATTTGTTCACAACAAAAAATTAGTACAAGTAAGCTCTGTGAGAACATGAAAACTGTTCAAAAGAAGCCCATACTAAATTAGACAGCATAGTCTTATTTATTATGTAACAAAAGTAAAACAAATTTAAACATATTTAACGTTCAAGTCCTGAACCATTTAAGTAAAAACATAGCAGCAATATCAAATGTAGAGACGAAGGCGCTAATGTTAGACAATCATCGGTTTTTCACATCGGCTAAATTTGTTCATCGGACTGATACCGATACATCGGAAAAAACACTAATATCGGCCGATACTGATGTGGTCGTCGATATATCGTGCATCTCTACTTCAAACATATTGTGAATGGATGTATTTTAACCCAAATCAAGATATTTTACTAAGTCTTACTTGATAGTTTTAGTGCTTGAACCCAATCAAGCTACTAACGTGTAATTTACACTGTAAAAGGATCTATTTTAACCCAGAGTAGGATATTTTCCTTAAACCAAGCAGATTAGGGGCTCAAACCTAACTAAACAGCAAGTGAATAATGAAAGTAAACAAACCTCATGTCTAAGAGTGTCCTGCATATGACACAAACCTCTGTATCTTGGGTGAAAATCCTTTTTTTCTTAGCTCTTGGGGAAAAATGCATTGATTTTAAAACATACATAAGCATGCAATTTAGTTATATACTTGTGTGTTGTATAGAATTTTTTTGAGACAGGGTTGTTATCTGGCTTTCTGGTTCTTTGTTAAAGTTACAATAATCAGGAGATTAAGAGTCATTTTAATTATCAGGCTTTGAGTAACATACTTTTTAAAGATGGAGAATTACAGTGCTTTCAGCTGCGATTTACACAGTATCGACCTCTTACGTAATGCGCTGCTCTCTTATCTTTCTTTGCCTCCCCCTCCCCTACTCAGTTTGTACTTTCTTGTAAGAAGGGAAGCAATAGCCAACAGTCATGTCAGGAAAAGTTATTTATGAAGCACAAAGAAAGCTGTCACAAAACCCTCCCAGAAATAAAACAACATCAAAACAGACAAGAAAAAAAATGGAGGAAACAGGTACGAGACAAATCTGGAGGGAAGAGAATAGATGGTAGCCAAACATAATGCAGGACATCTTGGTAATGATAATTCCCTCTGAATAATCACATCTCTGAATATGTATCATGTCAGTAAGCAAACAGGTTGTGGAGAGCCTTGGTTAAAGCTTCACAGTCAGTTAAGTGAGAGTTTTAGTCTGTGAAAAACAAAAAAAGCTGGACAATCAGGTTTTTAAAAATGCATTTAAAATGTATTGAAGTCTGGCAGGGTCAGTGTTTAAACCACTCACTGTCATTGAAGCCCCGTGACCCAGTCAGACATCGTTCTGTGTAGATTACATGGTTGAAATCAGCCCTGCGGTGGCTCACTGTGTCACTGAACGCATTTCTGTTAAAATGTGACTTATAATTGTCGTATCAAGTGCATATTGCATGTAATGTTAACATGCAATATGCAGCACGCGGTGTGTATTATAATATGTTAGGAGGAACGTAGGTATAGAGCATGTGTGTGTGTGTGTGTGTGTGTGTGTGTTTATGTCTGTTGGACTGTCACTAAACGCAACATTACGTCTGATCTGTTTGTGGGTATAGAGGCATGAATAGCCCATCACACACACACACACACACATACATTACTCTCATTGCTCTCATTACACACTCATTACATCGGCATGCTGCATCACTACAGCACCTAATTGGTGAGACCTCACAGCACGAGATTTAAACATCGCTTCACCAACTAGAGCTCTGGGCACGTGTGTGTGTCTATGTGTGTGTGGTTGTGTGCTTCTGTTTAGTGTATGTTTTGTCATTTTGATCCCATTCAGCTAAAACGGGAATCAGGAGTAAGTCAGCAGTGATCAGCACGCTGACTAAGATGCAGATTTTTCTCAGGTTTTATGTAATGTTTTCGAGAGCTTTGATTTTATTTCTTTTTTTTTTACAGACACCAAACCACAATGCAATGCTCACAATAAGGTCATAAGAAGATGACACAATATAAGGTCATAGAATGAACTGCTGAACAACACCTGACTGTTTTTTTCAGCGGTGTATTAGTCATCATCCATTCATGCGATTTACGTCAGAGTCACTTTAACCTTTAAGAGCAAAAGGTATGATTTATACCATCAGAGCGTGCAGCTGTAAAGTTCAATTCAAGGTTGCACTAAATTCATGGTTTATAAACAGACTTACACTCACCTAACATGTGGAGATCTCTGTTAGGTCACCCCAGTTTATCTTATCGAAACGAGACATTATTTAAGGTGAGAAATCCTAAACTTCCTGCGTAAGCCTGACAGGAGTGCATCCTCCCAACACTCACTCCACTGAGATGATGAAATTAGGAATGTCAGGATTTTTTTGAGGCAGTTGTGGAGGCTGTAGTTTGACATTTTTGGAAAGGCGTCCAACAGAATGAGATTATATAATAACCAGAAGATATTTTAGCCTTATGTAATAGAACAAGTTGGAGGAGCTTTGACAGTTTGCAGAAGAAATATGGAACAACAAAATCCTAGTTCTGCTACGGTGATTAAAATTATAACTAATTTGTTGTCAGAGTTTAATATCAAGTATAATCATTGGTACCCATTTAACTCTCTGAGGCCCAACACCTACCTGAGGGTTTGACGGGACTGTTATGTGCTAAAAATCATCAAAGTGACACCATTTATCAGCCAGAAACTATAAAAACAGAATAACTGGATTTTAAATTTTCTGATGGTCATGGAACTGATAATCTTTGATGTGTTCTTCTTTCAAAAATAATAAAATCACAACCAAATCTAAGCTCAAAATCTTGACATTTCATCCAAAAAAAAAAACATGTCTACATTATTCATTTAGAAATCCATCAAAAACTAATTGTTTCCACTGAACACATTTTGTAAAAAAACAAAACATTCTGCAGGGCAGCTATTAGTGACTCAGCTACAACCAGCAGTTACCTGACGAAAGTTCAGGGACTTTTTGGTTTAATCGGCTGAACTGCAGGCTGATGTACACAGAGCAGACATGAGAGAAGTATATAAAGAAATTAAAAGTTGAAAAAGCAAAGTATCTATAGTATTTAGAGTCAACATTTTTTTCCATTATTGGTAACACTTGTTTGTGTTTGGAAAAATGTGTTACATGTTGATTCCAGGTTTTTACATTTTTGGAAAATAAAGAGAGAAATCGAACCTTTGTTTTGTCTTTTTTATGGCATTCTAACTGTATTATTCTGCATTAAAGACACACAATATTAAACACAGCATTTAAAAATAATATAATATGAATATATTTATTAGATCTGTAAAAAGAGAAAGTGAAACCAGATGACAAAGTGCATATACTTAGCAGAATTATTAATAAAAAGAACCAGTGTTAATATTGGATCATACTGACACTTGTCTGAGACATCACAGCTGTCTGAAATTCCCAAAGCCTCTGACCCAGAATTACATCTCCAAGGCTGCCTTGAATGGATTTCAAGGCCCCAAAATGCACAATAATAACATGAATGCGACAATATGTCAGTAGACAGTGTTCAGCCAGGAGGGACTAAAAATAGTATTAGAGTGACACTCTGAAAACTAAAAGCTGACTTGAGCTTTTATGTGATTGGAACATATTCACATCTCATCTCACTTGACCACAGCCACGATGTTACATAATACAGGTTCTGATGCAGAGAACAGTGTAGTTTGTTGAAAACTGTGTATGTTTTTTTACTGTGTGTGTGCAGCTGCCTTGTGTGCGGAGGTGGAGGAGCGGCTAGTGAGTCACCTGTTGTCACCGGAGCGCTACAACAAGCTGATCAGACCGGCCGTCAACAACAGCCAGCAGGTCACCATTTACATCCAGGTGTCTCTAGCTCAGCTGATCAATGTGGTGAGGACACACACACACACACACACACACACACACCTACACACACACACACTAATCCAAAACCACATATGTCGCAATTGTGGATGCAAAACAGCATATGTGGTTTTTCTATCTAATGAAACTGCCTTAACTGTCTGTATTTCAGAATGAGAGAGAGCAGATCATGACCACCAACTGTTGGCTCTCTCAGGTTTGTCCACAAGCATCCTCTTGTCATTTATTCTGTGTGAATCTGTGTGTGAAGGTCTGGCCATGATGTGAAAACACTGCCTCTGAGTGGCTGAGTTGTATTAATCACTGCCGCATGCAAACATAAAGTCACATGTTTAGGTTTGTAGTGGTGCAGCAGCAGTTTGAACAATACTGTGCCATTCACTGGCGAGGGAAAGACTTCAATGTGTTTAAAATGCAAAACCAGTGTTGGTGTTATTATGCCTGAGCCAGCAATTTTATACATGGATTCTGAATGTAAGTATTTTATTTTGAACCTGTATTTTTGTGTGTGTGATGTTATTTGGTTGCATGCCTCTGTCTCAGGTGTGGAACGACTACAGATTAATGTGGGATCCTGAACAGTATGAGGGAATCAAGAAAATCCGACTCCCGACACAACACATCTGGCTGCCAGACATCGTCCTCTATAACAAGTATGTCTGCTTTGTGATAAACACAATGAGTGTGTGTGTGTGTGTGTGTTAAACTGATGAAATTCAGAACAACTTCACTGCAATAGTTTCAAAAACCCCATTTTCCTAAAAGGTTTGTCATTCTATCCTCTTATTGAATCTATCCTCTTATCGCTCCCTTTTTATCCCACCTGTCACCTTTTGGGATAATGGATACAACCAAAAATGTTTTGTTAACACCGTCTGGAGTGTCTGCAGACAGTCTCCGGATAATGACTGATCTTTTAAGGTTTGAGAGATTACAAAGCCTGCACAGAAAGCAGGATTGAGTTAAAAAAGTCTACCAGACAGATAAAGAAAACAGAGTTAATAGAGACACAATGTAAAACATGACTATTCATACCCTTCAGCAAAAGTACTAACACAGTAATGTAAATATATTTCATTACAAGTAATGCATGAACAATCCAACCTTAGTAAAATGACAGTATTAGCAGCAAAATGTAGTCAATGTGCTAAAGTAAAAGTACTGGTTTGGTCCCTTTGAGTGATGCATTATTATATTTGACATCATTAGATGAGTAATAATGAAGCCTCACTTTGTTAGTAGCATTACAATGTCATAGCTGCTGCAGGTGGAGCCAGTTTGAACTTCTTTATATACAGTTTTATAGACAGAGACACTGAGGAGGACAGAAATGATTAATAGGAGAGGAAAGAAAAACAAAGGATTTGATCCAGAAAAAAGTTTTAAGTTTTTGGACATCTTTGATGTTTTCTGAGAAATTACAATATGTAAGTATTTGTGTAAATGAAACCATGTCAGAAGTTTGAAGTCAAAATCACTATTTGATGGAAACCACTGCTTCACACTTTGACAAGATGTTTTATTCCAAATGCTTATTTTATTCACTGTGTAAAATCTTCATGCCAAAATTAAACGAAAGCTGTTCAATAAATGTAGTGGAAAAGAAAGTATAATATTTTACTCTGAAATGTGCTCAAATGTAATTATGAAGTAGCATGAAGTCAATAATCAAGTACAGTCCAATACCTAAAAATGATCCATCCATCCATTATCTATACACCGCTTAATCCTCACTAGGGTCGCGGGGGGACTGGTGACCTGTCCAGGGTGTCCCCTGCCTTCGCCCTAAGTCAGCTGGGATAGACTCCAGCCCTCCCGCGACCCTAGTGAGGATTAAGCGGTGTATAGATAATGGATGGATGGATGGTTTCTTTTAATTGTTAATCTCACAGGTCGCCACTTTTGGTGCATTTGTTCAACTTTGACTATTAGTGCCCTCATTAACTGACTTGAAAATGAAAATACTGATTGACAACTCCTCTTGAAGAAAAACTCATAGTATCAACTGCAATGTGTCTGCCAAAACTTCAGAAGAAACTTTTTTTTTTTTCTTGTTTGTACATGTCATCTTCATTTCAGTTTGCAGTAATTTAAACAAAATTAGGCTTCAAGTCAACATCAGCTGTGATTAGATTGATTTCTTATGTGGTCATTTTTCGACTGCTGCAATCTTAACTGAGCACGTGACATGTACAGACTGAAAAACACACACAGACTGACAACGTTTACGATTCATTCGTATACTGTCCTTCTGTGTTTGAGACTTCGGAGCTGGATCTGCATGCAGAATCACATCATGGCAAGAGACATCACTGTACATTACTGTGTGTTTTTGCAGATTGAGCAGTATAGCACAAAATATTCCCGTGAGTGTGCAGATCAGAAAAATCATCTTGGAGCTGTATGACATGACTGCAGGGGAAAATCAATACGCCAGAATGTCCGTACTGTAAAAAGTTCAAAAGAAATTAGCCCCGTCGCCTCTATTCACTGGAGTGTTAGCTGACAGGCACGAAGGCTCCTGGACCTCACCTCATCTGTCACCCACAGAGATCAACACCTGCGTCTCCTTTCCATCTGCCAGTTTCTTGTACAGCATTAACTCTTAAGTTTCATCGTGAAAATTGTATTACATCCAGGAGTCCTTGCTCAGTTGTGTTGCCTAACAGTTGCAAATACATTTAAGCAAGAGTTTAGTTTTGATTTCATTTTGTGTGGTGATGCACATCTAACATCAGAATTTTGCAGTTGTGTTGCATGTTTTTTTAAATTTGAAATTACTTTTAATTTTGATGTATCTACGCCAAATCCAGAGTCAAGCTGCCTTTTACATTAACACCCTGACAACATAAACACAGCGACACACATTCATATCTAAAGCTGCTCGCTACAACCACAGCCTGATCTGCTGCCCGCTGAGCAGTTGGGGTCTGGGGCGCTTCCTCAAGGGCGTCTCAGAGGTGATAATGAGAGATGAGATGCAAGCTGCTGCTTTTTTTCCCTCTTTCTCCCTGATGAGGTTTATCTTATTTAAGTTGCACCTGAACTTATGAAATGGTCCAAGTCAGAGCAGCCTCTTGTCATACCGAATCAGGTTTTAGCTACAAGATCCCTTTGGCAGCTGCTTTAGAGCTTTCAGTCATGATTTTCATCAGCAGATGGTGTTTTAAGAATGAACTTTGCATGTCAGAGTTTAGGCCAATATGGATGAGAAACCCCAAAAGAAAAAGTGGAACCTGAACGTAACTGTTTTCTCAGCTGCTGCATCCAGGGCAAAAAGAAAAGAAAACAGACTTTTATAAGTGAGAATGAGATAGTCTAACAGACTTTGGTGTTTTGGTCAGCAGTCACTGCACCGTTTACAGGGCTTGTAGGCATTAAACTTTTACCAACACAGATTGCCGGTCAGCTAAAGTCGACGTAAAGAGCACACTGGCTCAAGAGGCAAAATGATAGGCGATGATCAGCATTACTTTGTGACTTCAGGTTGACGTCTGGCGAGAGCAGAGGTCACAGTGAGCAGGTGGGGCCTCTGCATTTTTAATTTGTCTGCATACACATCAGCAGCCCCAAACCATTAGAGACCAAGTGTGATGGTTGGATTCCTGACCTACTTTATAATTGATAGGCCACTTATTTATAATGCATCACATGCAGCCTTGGTGAGATGAAGAAATAAAGTCAGTCTCAGCAGATTTGCAGCTCCGGGGGGCAGTTGTTGCCTTGTTGCTGACATGAGTCCCAGGCCGAGGTCCTCTCCTGAGACGTTGAACACATCTCTCTGAATTCAAACTGTGACATGTGTCACCTGTGCAGATGCGTGGTGACAGTCATGAAATCATTTTCTCGACATGCAGTCAGCTTGAACTGCTAATTAACTTGCTGTTGTCTCTTCATAACAATGCTACAACACTGATCCTGTCCACTTCTAACGGTGCTCAGAAGATGAGACACCACAAGTCTAACATGAATCCAACAAATGAAGGCAGATTTTAATCAGTGACATGCAGCACAGTGATTATCATTAAGTACAGTTGAAGGTGCGGAAAAAAACTACCAGTGAACATCATAATAAAACACAATGTTCGTTAGCTGCCTCATTTATACTTTAGATGAAGTAACAAGTAATGTGTGATGTGGCCACTAAACCTGACACTTGGCCCAGTTCGTCACCCTGAAAACAGACCCACGCAGGTGGATGAGGTGATGCACACAGGTGTTGTTTCATTAAGGCAGCAATCGTTTCATGTTTGTTGTGATGATCACCAGGTAAACAAATTAAATGCATCATGAGTGTACAAGCTGAATTGTGGGTTTGCATGTGTTTAATTGGGCAATGCACTGTTCTGTTAAATGAAGCAACATTGCACCAAAAAAAAAAAGAGGAAAACAATAGAATGATTTCAAACTGTTTTACTGCTGGACGCTGTGTATTTTAGCCACAGCTTTCTGAGTCGGCGCTCCCTGTTGCATCCACAGAGCATTAGCTCACGCTGTGTTGTCTGTCTGAATGTGGCCTTGTCTCATTTCAACACCACCTGTTAAACTCTCTCAGAGGAATCCTCATTGTTACTCTGGTTCTTTGAAAACCTCTTCAAACGTTACATCATTTCCCATCAAATCTACCTCTATGAATACATATTGTCAATTACTGACGTACGCGTCTCTGTGTGAACCACAGATATGTATTACTCCAAGTGTCCTCTGAAGCTTCTATCTATTGATTTTCTGACATTAATGTAGGTTGTGGTGGTAGCAAGCTATGACAATTAATCAGATTTCTTTGATTAGACGTTTCCTTCAGCTGCCCTTGGGGGAACCCAAAGTGTTCCCAGGCTACATAGGATATACTGTATAATCCCTCCAGTGTATTCTGTTCCTGCCTCAGGGTGTCCACCAAGATGGATATTACTTGAATACCTTTGTAAGGTTATCCACTGGGCATCCTCAAAGGATGTTTGAAGCACAGTTTGCAGTAGTTTTACTCTATTCTGCTCTGTTTTAATTTAAAAAAAAAAAAAAAACTTATTTATCTACATCATGTACAGATGTGGTGGATGTGCTTAACTTTACTTTCTAAATCTTTTTGATCTCCTCCCTTTTCCTCAGTGCTGATGGGACCTATGAAGTCTCATTCTACTCCAACGCGGTGGTCTCCAACAACGGTGAAGTGGCCTGGCTCCCACCAGCTATCTACAAGTCGGCCTGCAAAATCGAAGTCCGCGATTTCCCCTTTGACCAGCAGAACTGCACCCTCAAGTTTCGCTCGTGGACCTATGACCACACAGAGATCGATCTCATCCTCCTCAGTGACTATGCCTCACGTGATGACTTCAAACCCAGCGGCGAGTGGGATATTGTTTCACTGCCTGGACGCAAGAATGAAGACCCTAATGATATCCGATACCTGGATATCACCTATGACTTTATAATCAAGAGGAAACCTCTGTTCTACACCATCAATCTGATCATTCCCTGCATCCTGATCACGTCTTTAGCTATTCTGGTCTTCTACCTTCCATCAGACTGTGGTGAGAAGATGACTCTTTGTATCTCAGTGCTCCTGGCCCTGACTGTGTTTTTACTCCTTATCTCAAAGATTGTGCCACCCACGTCTCTAGCAGTGCCTCTGATTGGGAAGTACCTAATGTTTACGATGGTGCTGGTCACCTTCTCCATCGTCACCAGCGTTTGCGTGCTCAACGTGCACCATCGGTCCCCCAGCACACACACCATGCCTCCTTGGGTCAAGCGAGTCTTCCTGTACCGGCTCCCCTCTTTCCTCTTCATGCGGAGACCTGGTAGGTCCAACATTCGTGAGCGGTTCCGGAAAAAACACCAGAAGCAAAGCCAGAAGCTGTGTGGAGCAGACGGCGGGGCTGGAAGCTCTGCAGGAATGGCAGATTCTTCCTCGTCCTACTTCATCAATGAGGACTCAGCCAAACGCTACGGCTGGAAGAACTTGTCCGAGAACACGGAGTTCAGGAGGAGGATGACGCTCAAGTACAACATTGATGTGGAGGATGCAGTGGATGGGGTGCGCTACATCGCTGACAAGATGAAGACTGAGGATGATGATGAGGGGGTACGTATTTGGAGAGAGTATCTGCAAATGCATGTATGTCATGATATAAAATCCACCTGTTTGTTTTCCACCTGTTACATTTTTTTCATTCTCATGTAAGCTGTTTTAAAATTTTCAAAGATCTTTATATTTGTGGCAGCATGGTAGTCTCAAAAACAGGCTTTTTGGCATGCTAGTCATGTGGCTGTATGAAAGGCAAAGTTGGTCTGTTAGTCAGTTCAACACTTTGGTTCTGACTGAATAATCTCTGCAAATGTTGAAAGGACTGACATGACATTTTGTACAGACAGGGAAAGACAGCGACAGACTTCTGCTCAGTCTGATAATCCCATGGCCAGTTTTCTAAGTACTTTGTTTCATGACCTAATAAAACACTTAAAACATATAATAATAATTGCTAACTAGCAAATATTACATGCTATGTTGTTAAACATCAACTAACATTAGCATTCACCTCAAAGCACCAAATGTTGCTGTTTGAGTCTTAGGGAAATTATTCTATTAACAAACTGAAAATACTGGAAAAACATTCCCTATTTATGACCGCAAGGACACAATCTGAACAATGGATTAAATCTTTAAAAGCAGATTTTATGGGCCGTACTTATTTGCTGCAACTGTTTGTACTAAATATAATGTGATGATTTTCTATTTGTAATCTGGTCTTTTGTTTGTTTGTGCATATTTCTTTGAGAATTATGTTTTTTTGTGATTTGATGCCAGATTTATTACACAAGTGATTAGTTAATTTGTACTTCAAATTTTCATAAAAATGTCACTGTTGTTTTAGCCAACATAAATAATTACCCGATTCAAACATGAACATAGAAAAACAAATGATTAGATCAAATTTAATCAAGTGTAAGTTAAATAAAATAAATGATGTCAGCTCTCTTTGGTTCTGCACTAAGAACCACACAGTGGCAGCATTTAACATCTAACTTCTCTTCCTCTCTGCAGATCATCGAGGACTGGAAATACGTGGCCATGGTGATCGACCGTCTCTTCCTGTGGATCTTTGTGTGTGTTTGTGTGGTCGGGACACTGGGCCTCTTCATGCAGCCTCTGTTCCAAAGTTACAACACTCCCATTGTAGATGACGTGGAGCATAACTGAAATCTGAAGCCTGAACTTTGATCACAACATGACCCAGAAACAAACTTTTAATCCTCCCAGAAACAGAGCTCTGGTAACATTTTAACACATGAACTCACACTTCCGCCTCTCACCGCTTCCTGACTGGGAACTCATAACGATGCACTTTAGCCCTCATCCATCACCTGCCTCTCCTCCATCTTCCTCCCACCTTAGTCTCCCACCATCCTCTGCTCCGCTTGTCATCTGGACCGGGAGCTTTTTCTTTTAGTAAACCTGAAGCCGCCATGTTAGCCGTTTATTTGGCAGAGAAATACAGAACCAGTAAATCAACTACTGTCATATTTTGGTGCCATAATCAAAGGAAAGAACGGTCAAATATGCAAGATCCAACGTTTAACTGATCAGAAGTATTTTTTATTTTTAAATGTGAGGTGACGCCACCTTTCAGCCATGACGCTCTGACTTGGGAATCAGCACAGATACAGCTCTCCAAGGACTGACACGTAGCAGCTTTTTAACAGCTTTACCTGAAATGCTCAGAACTGAAAACATACTGACCCTTATCACTGTTCACTAAGGTTTACCCGGCCAACAGCAACTCAGGACATTTTTTTTTCTTGTTTAGAATGAGCTTGGTTTTGCTCTTTTCTATCATCGTATCTCAGTGGCTCCATTCACACTTTAGGTTAACGTGTATCTTGAGGGGATCCTATCACAAGTGGGCACCTCTAAGCACAGATGTAAATGCACCCAAGATCCTTTGAGGACACATTGAGATCCAAACACTCAGACCACATTCAGAGAGAGTCTGGGTTATGTATGTTCTTTTAGCAGAGTGTACATGACCACCTACTCAACTGATGTCCTCAGTAAGTACAAGTATGTACTCGTTCGTGCACCAGCAGCCTCACAGAAAAGTGTGTCAATGAAAACGAAAACAGGCAACAAAAAAAAACAATGATTTTGGTCTTTGCAAATAAAAATAATGTACATATTTGTTTTTGCAATAAACAGAAATGTGGGATCTGATCATGTGTTCACTCGAGATGTGCATGGAGTCGTGAACTGACACAAACTGTCCACTTGTGATTGGATCACCAAAGACACGTGCTAATGCCAGGTGTTAACAGAGCCACCGTGTCTACATGATGTTCTAATGGCCCTAAAGGGACATGATTGGGACAAGCATGACTTTTGTTTTTAATTTGCTTTTTTTTTTTTGTTGGCTCAAACAGCCAAAGATGAACGAAACCACAGAATCTCACAATCCGACTCATTTTGCAGATTTGGGGCTCATATCGATAACACACCCCTGAAGAGAAGAAGATGAATCTGTGTAGATACGCAGAAGAGGCTCACTCTCCCTGTGTCTTTTTGCCAACAGCACACATACTGTATGAATTTACTATATCTGCCTTGACAATGCGACTAAGAGAGGACACAAAACAGCTGACTGCTTAAATAATCATGGATGGGTGGGTGTGAGGCAGTGTCCAGCCTGTTTTTGTGCTCACATAACTCACTGTGCGAACTCTGGCCTGATTTATTCTATGACCAACTGCTGTTGTGATGTTTAAAAGCAGCTTTGTTTTAAAATGAAGTATGGATGTTACAATAGTGCTAAAAAATAATTACTTTAGTGGCCATAAGGCTGTTGCTGCTCACTGTGCTTATTTTAAAGGTACAGTACGCTGGTTTCGTCGGAGCAGTTTGTCAGCATCCATCACTAAGGAAACCAGCAGCAATAATATTGTACAGTATTTTATACACACCGACCTGGAACAAATTAACCAAACAGCCTGTGTCTTCACTTACCTTCCATCATATTGTATGCTTCATTACTGCAGTCTGTTCGCAGAGACGTTACTTGAATCCGTGTCCAGTAATTATTTTTAAGGGGGATTATAACTTGTCACTGTCATAATGCACTCGTCTGTCACTGCTGCCAACGTTACCCAGGAAAAAGCGTACTGTACTAATCCAGCGGTTTTGATTTTCCTTCATCTTTGTTTTTTCAGTGGATGGTGAAATGAAACGTGTATTTTTTTTTCTTTTTCTTCCCACTGGTCGGTCATGTTGTGCTACTTGTTGAGTTTCGTCTTACAAGACGGAAATGTGATGGGACCCGATGTCTTGCTAAGTGGATCAATAAAGGGGAAATGAAAGCATTAAGCAGACCTGACGAATCACCTGCACATTAATTGATCATTATATAATGCAGTTTTTCATTATAACATTATAAATGTGCCCCAGTTTCTATGTTAATCTCTTTACGAGGCACTTCACTGTCGCTTACTGTGTCCTCACCAGCTCTTGCTCTGTTTGAAGTTTCTGGACAGGATTTCTTCTTTGGTTCTTCTTCTCCTGTGTGTGCACTGTCCTGAGTCAGGGTTAAATGTTAGTCAGCTGAGCACAGATTCATTAGACAGTCTTGTATCCTCGGGACTTTCGGCCTCACCTTCTGTTAGCTTAAGATGGCAGCGAGGCTGTATGACTGCACATCCTGTGAATGAATACGCACATGCCCACAGTCATAAATCTGGAAAGTCTGTGTTACAATGCTCTCCCCCTCTTATTCACATGGCAGCTGCTTCCCGAAATGTGGCGCATAGACCTACAAAAGAGGCCGAAGCATCAGATACAGATGGCTATTTGTTGGTTCCGTGCCACGGCTAATCACATTTTACACAATATAACTTTAAATTTAGAGCTTATTTACTGTTGCCTTATGGAAACACTGAAACAATAAGATGCAATGACAGATTAAAAAGCATAACCTCCAACAATAACCAGATTACTTAACATTTTATAATGGCAATTTTCCAGATTAGATGTACTTATAGTTTCTATAAGTGTCTGTAGGGGCATTTTAAGGTCCCTTGCTCATGTGTTCTTCCAAAACAGGCAAGAAATCAAGCTTTTTTCCAGGAACTGCTGATGCTTCCAGCTGATAATACAGCGTCATAATAATTTTCCAGCAAACATCATGTCAGCCGCACACACCCACACACACAGTCATGTTTCTGTCTCTTCAAGAGGACATTGCATTGACTCAAATTCGTTTCCTGGGAACCTGCTGTAACCCTGTCCATAACCACTACTTGCCCCAATGTCGACTAAACTTTAAACCAAGTGTTTATACGAACATGTCATAGTTCATGTGATGTTATATTTGCTTATTGTCCTCCAAAGGAAAATGAGTCTCTACAACATGAAAGAGTGAACAGATTTCACCTCTAACCTAAACCCGAGTCTATCTTCAACCATAAAAACACATCTTAACCCTTACACGGCTCTTTGAAGCTGCGAGGAACAGCAAACGTCAGCCAGCAACGCACAGTGATGGTTTAAAAGTAAAACTCGTTTACACAAACACACACAGAAATGCACCCACAGCGGCATAATCCTACAGATGTAGTGACAGCCAGTGAATTGGAATTGGGTTCAGCAATTACAGCTCATATTTGTACCCTCATCTTTCCCTGGTGTGACACATAAATTAGATACTTGACATCTGCATCAATTTCCATTAGGAGAGCGGCCAGATGGGGAGGGATTGAGCTGTAAAGAGTGTTTGTGTTGTTTGTGGTCTGAGGGGCTGTAGAGTTGCATCACATCTTGGTTTCTAAACATCACTTAACTTTTAGCTCATTTTTAAATATATTTGCTGACATTTTTTGTTCATTTTCATGTGTCTTCTTTATTAGCGTTTGATATTATTTCATGCTTTTATGTGTTTGTGTTATTTCTAGTGATGCATGATATTAAAATTTCTGGCCGATACCGATATTAAGATTTCTGATATCGCCAATAACCGATAGTACCGAATTCAATATTCAATTTTTGTTCACACCGAAAAATGAGTATAAGTAAGCACTGTGAGAATGTGAAAACTATTCAAAAAAAAGATAAAGATAAAGATAAAAAGAACATTATAGACAGAAGATCTTTTTTTAATAAAATTTTTATTTTTATTTTTTATGAAGACTATACATAAACCCATACCAAATTAGACCACATAGTCTTCTTTATTACATAACAGAAGTAAAACATATTAAAACATATTTGAACATATTTAACATTCAAGTCCAGGAACATCCATCCATTATCTATACACCGCTTAATCCTCACTAGGGTCGCGAGGGGGCTGGAGCCTATCCCAGCCGACTTAGGGCGAAGGCAGGAGACACCCTGGACAGGTAACCAGTCTATCACAGGGCTACACTTAGAGACAGACAACCAAGCACACTCACATTCACACCTACGGACAATTTAGAATCACCAATTAACCTCAACATGTTTTTGGACCTTGTGGGAGGAAGCCGGAGAACCCGGAGAGAACCCACGCTGCACGACGAGAACATGCAAACTCCACGCAGAAAGATCCCGGTGCCCCCACCGGGATGTGAACCGGCGACCTTCTTGCTGCGAGGCAACAGTGTTAACCAACTGCGCCACCTTGCAGCCCAAGTCCAGGAACATTTAAGTAAAAACATCTGTGAAATAGCAGCAACATCAAATGTGGAGACAATCATCGGTTTTTCACATTGGCTAGATTTGTTCATCGGACCAATACTGATATATGTGGAAAAAAACGATATATTGTGAATCCCTAATGATTTCAAAAAGTCAATTTTGTGGGACTCTACTTAGTATTATTCATCTTGGGATTTAAAGAATCATTTTCTGGTTTGAACATGTATTTCTGAAGTGCTCTAACATTACAGCTTACCACTGTGTAGTGCGTAGTAGTTTTATGGGGTTTGAGCCAAGGTGAGCTGGTGTGCTGAAGTTGCAGCAAATGGTGTTGGGATGGATGGAGAAGGAGGCAGTGACTTAATAGAGCCACACATCTAAAGGAGGCAACACTGACGAGTTACATCTAACCTCCTTTAATTCATGAAGAAATTATTTTCATGTAAAAAAAAAAAAAAAAAGTTGATATGGAATTATGATACACAGAGATGATATTTTAAGGGTTTAATCAACAACCATAGAGGGATTTTGAATACATAAAT